TTAAAAGTGAAAATTCTAATCGTATAGTACTTAATCAAGATATTTCATTGAATGTGCAAGATATTTCAATCTTGCTTAATCAATAAAAAAACAAAGGAAAAGAATGCAGGAAGAATATGAATTATAAAAAATCCAAGAAACACAAAATACAGAACAGACTGCACCGAGTTTGCTTTTCACCACCCCCACCATAAAGAAAGTGAATTTTAATTAATTTTATCAGAGAGTGGAATGAAAGAAAAAGGAGATTACAAAAAACTTTTGGTTCCAAACAAAAATTAATTTAAGCAAAACAACGCCCTAACATAGCTAGCCAGTAAATAACCACACCATGAAATATTAAAACAAAAAACCAACCAATTATGCACCTGGTACCACACAACACAAACATGAATATAAGATACTCTTACATATTTCTGATAATAAAAGTGTTAACTTAGTTTTAAAGGAATAATTTCTTCCAAGTGCCAAGAACAAAGGCTAAAATTGGGGAAGGCATTTTCAAGTCTGCGTGTTGCTGTGAAGACCAGATGGAGAAGAGGGAGAATAAAATAAATAAAAGACACAATCATATCCAAACCATTAAAACACCATTGTCTCTTTCTCACAGTCTGCCAAGATATGTTCTACCCAAAGCATGTTCCAATGGAAAAGAAAAATATTTTTTCAAAGCATGTTCCAATGGAAAAGAAAAATATTTTTTCATACAAAAGCCTTGATGGTGGTGGTGGTGGTGGTGGTTGGGGGGGTAGTTGTGGTGGTGGGGTGACGGTGATGGTGGTAATGGTGATGTGGGTGGTGGTGCAATTCCAAACACTATTTTTTAAAAAAATATTTATGAAAAGTTGTAAATCTTAAAAGTACTTTTAAAAAGTCATTTCAAATGTACTTTTAAGGACCTATTTTTCATATTAAATTTGGAAGGTTAATATTATCTTTAAAATAAAATTTAAAGCGATATCAACCGTGAATAACATAATTTATTTTGTTTATCTTTTGAAATTTGAATTGTATTGTATTTTATTATTTTGCTTCTTATTACCCAACAAAAAGACATTCCATTAATAAATAGATTAGTAAACGTTGTGTTATAGATTTTACCATATGACTGGACAAATTAAGTGCAAACCAGGGCAGTCATAATCAAGAGAAATAAGTAACTTCAATAAGCATCAAACATCAACTTGCAGGCCAAAAAAAAATTAGGATATGTACATACAACATCAGTTCTCTGAAGAGCACGGCCAAATATGTACTTAGTTTTCTTCATGGTCTAAATATGTATTCTCATCATTGTGTTTGTGGGAAAATAATAATGAATTAGATCAAATGCAACTTATCAAATAGCTAACAGAGTTTGAGAGGGACAACTTATCAAATAGCTAGCATGAGTCTACCATACACATACCCAAACCCACCTTCAATAGATCAGTTGAGTAAATATTTAAGTCAAACAAATCCAAATCAAATATATCCATCTCAGTACAGAAATATCACTAACACATACATGTACTTGAATGTGTGCTACTCCTAACAAACTAATAACTTCGAATACAATAAATACGAATAGAATCTACAACACAGAGAAGAAAACACACAAAAACCCAAAAATATCAAATCAATTATAAAAAATAGAACTTCATGCTATAGAAATCCATCAACTGGTTACCAAACTATGGCAATAGTAATAACGCCAGTCAGCTAATTAGGCAACATTAAACCCAAGAATTAAGAAAGAGAAGATCATAAATTAGGCAGGTTGAAACTGAATACATTTTTGGAATTGATCGAGTAAATAAGCAAACATTTTTAATGGAATTACGCAGTTGAAATACATCAGTTCAGGGGAAAAAAAAAAACTGTTCAGGAAAAAAAAACTGTTCAGGAAAAAAAACTGAACAGATGAAAAAAACTGTTCAGGAAAAAAAAAAAAAGATCATCAAAAGAATCGCAAAATCTCACAAAAGATTAACCCATTTCCAACCCGAATCAGTTGAGATTATTCATTCCAAAAAATATTTAAATCTACATAAGGAAAGAATCTACACTGGGCTGAGCTTGGTAGAAGCAACTCGGATTTATTCATTCCAAAAAATATTTAACTCGAATCTACATAAGGAAAGAATCTACACTGGGCTGAGCTCGGTAGAAGCAACTCGAATTTATTCATTCCAAATTACTCTCTGTCTTACTCTCAGGCAGGGAAACACCCGAAAAGCTCAATAACTTTTTGCCTCTCACTCTCCCTTTGCCTCAATCACAGTATTACTCTCTCTCTCTCTCTGCGTTTTATGTGTGTGTGTTTCCTTTCCCTCTCGCGCGCATCAGCGCCTAGCCCCAATTTTGTGTCGCCGTCCATGCGGGTTTCTAAATTTGGTTTTGCTTACTAATAAGATAGGACTCATTTTGAATCTTTTTCTACTTTAAAATTTAATTTATTTGGAAAAGCATAAGAACGGCTCAGATTCAAAGGCCCACATTTTCATCTCATTTCTTCCATTTCAATCCAATGGCTTGCAATGCATCTCAACCCAAAAAAAAAATCCCGCCCATTTTGAACCCAAACACACGCCACCCCCAATTAAACCCTCTGCCCCTCTCTCTCTCTCTCCAATCTGCCATGGAACTAATAGCACAGCCCAGGTATACCCCCTTCTCTCCCTCTCTCTCTTTCACGACCCACAGCACAGAACATAAAGATGTGTTCAAGCATCATTATGTTCTGTGCCATTTTTTTTACTTTGCCTATAATGGTTTTCATCATAATGATGCTTGAACACAGCACATAACATAAAATTAAATTAAGCTCATGATAGAAAGGTACACATCCCATTTGCTCAATGTCCTTACACATCCATCAAATGTATGTTTCAAGGTAAAAGTTAAGCCAAGAAGAAATGTGCCTAAACAGGTTAGTTTATCTAGTACATCTTGCAAAAAGTACCTAATCATTTTTTTCTTTTGTTTTGGTACATCCAAATAAGTTATTCTGAAGAAAGTATTAAAAAGAAAATTAATATTCAATTTTGAGATGGATTTAAAAATGTCAAGAAGTATAAAACCTGAATCATTTCTCTAAGAAAACCCACCAAGAAGGAAAAAACACTGCACTGTTGCTATTGAATATAGGAAAAAACACTGCACTGTTTCCCCTTTCCATTACAGAGAATTCAGCAAGTCTCACAATTGAATATAGAAATTGTAAGAAATTGTAAGAAATTCACAATTCAGCAAGTCTCACATCCATCAAATGGCCTAAAACTTTCCTCATTTCACAAACAAAGGACCATATAAAAACAGCTTCCATAAAGCAAGAACTTTCCTCATTTCACAAAAAAAAATTGCGTAACTATAACTATAAAAAAAAATTGAAAACACCCAAATTAAACCAAAAGTTAAAAAAGACAAATTAAACATACCCAAATTAACCTAAATTCAAAAACCCAAACACATATTACTCCTTACCCCCCCTCTCTCTCTCTCTCTCTTACGCTCCAGCCACACCACCGCCACTTCGTCAGCCACACCACCGCCACTGCTAACCCCTCCCAAGTATTGTCTCTCTCTCTTTCTCACACACACACACAAGCACACACTAACCCCCATCCTACCCCCATATCTTCTCTGCCCTCTTCTACTCAACATCACCCAACACTTCTCTCGCTCACACACAATCACATTGCGCACGCACACCCACAGCGCACAATACACACATACATACTCACCACCCACACACAAATCGCACACACACAAACAAACCCAGCACACACACCCAACACAGACCCAGTATACACGCACCCACATCACACACACTCACACCCACTCACCCACTCACCCAGAAACAAACACCCACACCCACTCACCCACTCACCCACACACACATCACAAACAGACCCACCCACACCAATTGCTTGTTGGAATGACCGAGATAAATTTTGTGTAATTTCCTGTGTACCTATTTTTTTTTGGGTATAATGTGTTGAATTTTAATTGATTTACACTTTGTTTGATTTAGCTTATAATGTGTTGAATTAGCTTATATTCAATCTAATTAGCTTAAGTGATTTTTGAAGTTTAGAAATCAAGGTCTTTCCTATACTGGATGCCTCTTTTCTCCTTTCTAGAAAATGCAAAAACTCAATTCGGTTTCTGTAGCTTTCTGCAATCAAAATGGTTATTGATGGAGACTAAATATTGATTTTGTTTTCCAATCTAAGAATTTTGTTTTCCAATCTTTTAGCAGAAATGATCATTTTCGACTTCAGCTAGAGAGAGAGGTGGGTATGTTTAATTTGCTGTGGGTCGTGAAAGGGGGAGAGGGAGGTACCTGGGTTGAGCTTGGTGAGCCGCTGTGTGCCGCTGTGTTGAACGCCGTTGGTGTCGCTGCTGTGTTGATCGCCACTGTGTGCCGCTGCTGAGCCGGTGTCGCTGCTGCTGAGCCGTTGTGAGAAGGGTGTGGGTAGAGGGTAAGGGGTCTGGGTTGCTGTTTGGGGTGAGGCATGACAGAGGAAATGGGTATGTAGGGAAATGGGTGAGGCATGGCGGGAGACAGAGAGTAGCTGTGTAGGGGAATGGGTTTGATTTGAGGCAGAGAGTAAGTACCTGTAGGCGTGTGGATCAAAATGGGCGGGATTTTTTTTTTGGGTTGAGATGCATTGCAAGCCATTGGATTGAAATGAAAGAAATGAGATGAAAATGTGGGTCTTTGAATTAAAAGTGAATTTAATCTGAGCCATTTTTATACTTTTCCAAATAAATTAAATTTTAAAATAAAAAAAAATTCAAAATGAGCCCTATCTTATCAGTAAAGATACTCATAAAATTATATGCTTACGTCCGTAAAATAAAAGTCTACCGTACCATATCCAAACCCACGGCACACTTAACAGAAGAAAATTCAAAGACTGCGCACTGATAGAGAGAGAGAAAGAGAACCGTGGAAATGTCCATGGCCTAGGGTTTGTGTTACAGTGTTTCACGTAAATCTCGTCGTCTTAGCCATGGGCAGAAAGCTGTTATACTTTCTTCTGTGCATCATCTTTCGGCTTCGCCTCTCTCTCTCAGGTCAGTAATTTTATTTGAACTTCTCATATTCTTTTTTTGTTCCACTCAATCATGATGCTTTCTTTTAGTGCGTTTAGGTTTTATACCCTGTCTGGTTGCTGAGAAAGCGGAGTACTGTGATATTATAACGAAAAAGAAAATTTTAAGAGTCTTGGGCAATTTCTTTTTGTGGGTTTTTTTTTTCTTTTCCTGCTAAACAAAGACCGCAATTCAAGTCAAAGAGCCCCCAATTTTTGTTTGATTGGATCATTACATAATGAGAAATCCTCCACTTAAATGCGGGGGAAAAAAGCAAATTTATGATCACTTGTAGAGCTTTATTTCTTCTAGGAAGCCTAATTAGGCAACTATTGATTTGGAAATATTGATGAAAAAGCATGCTGGATAACGTTGTTGATGCTACCGTACAATGTATGGTAGGTATTCAAATACATGTCTGAATTTTTTTTTTTGGGGGTAAATACCTGTCTGACGTTTGTGATTAAATGTTTAAAGCCAAAGATCATTACCCAGTTTGGTCAGTGTTAACAAGGGCAATGTGAGGAGTGGATTAGGTGCAAACTGCCTTTAGTATTTTTTGTACAAAATTGGTACTGGCCTCATATATTAACCCATTTCACAGTTTTTAGCATGAAGTTTGTACCACTTCCACTAGGCAGTGACCGCTAGTAAGCTTTTGAAGTTGTAAGAAGGAAGAATATATATTTCACAATGTATGGATGAGTACTCACCTAATTCTTCGTTTGGTACGGTGGACAAATGGATGGGTGGAAGGTTGGAAAGATGGAAAGTTAGAAAGACAGATAAAATATCATATTTGGTGAGGAAGAAAAATAAGATGGATAGAAAAGTGGAAGGATGAACTTTTCTTCTAACTCATCAAAATTAATCTCTCTAAATTTAGATGAAAAAGTGGATGAAAAGTTAATTATGTGTATTAAAATGAATGTTATTATCTATATATCATTTGATATATACATATATATCATATTCATCAATTACATATTATGTATGCATTAATTTTATATATAGATATATATAATGGTAAAATATATATTTATATATTTGTTTAAAAATAAAACATAATTTTTTTTAAAAAAAAAAAAAAAATAAAAATATTTTTTCCATCTTACCAAACACAAAAAAAATCAATCTTTTTTACTTTCTATTCGTATTACGAAACACAAAGAAGGGAAGTAATGATTCCTCCCTTGAAAGCTAGAAAATAAATCTCTTATTTTTCATCCTTCTATTTTTCCATTCACCTTACCAATTGGACTATAAGTGACAGGGATGTGTTTTAGAGGGGTTGTATTCATAGAGTATTCATAGGATACTGTTACTAATTGGATACGAATTATACAAATGTTTTTAGAAAAGATGAATTTGCTGCTTTTGATTGGGTGCTAGTCTATTGGAAAGAGAAGTGAATCATATGTACTGGACGAGGATCTAGAGGTTGAATACACTTTACAATAGTACATTTTTCCTGGAATATTTTATTGCATCATTTACGTCGTTGTGCACAAAAGTTGGGATGCATTTTGGCAATGAGAAAGAAACTGAAATTTTTGAACCAGGGTTCTGATTACATAGTTGTGGGTCTCCAGTCTCCACTGTTGGTCTCTTTTATGCTTCTATTGGGAGAGTCTCTTTTGTTTTTGGCAACCACGGGTAACTTTCTAAGTGCTCCAGATCTATCTTTTTCAGATAAATATGCTTTTCCTGCTTAGTTGGAAGCTTAATGTTGTTCATGATTTGTGCTCAATCATGTGTTTTGTGACTATAATTGCCTTTTCTTATTTTTGTCATATGACTCATATTGTTGATTTTGTATAGGATTTGAAAATTTAATTAATTTTTGGCAGATATAGGACAGGTGAAACAGTTGGAGTCTGTTCCTGATCTTGAGAAGTTAATGTACATGGTTGTTGATGGATATCCTTGTGTACGACTACTCAGCCTTTCAGGGGAGATTGGCTGTTCAAGTAAGAAATCTAAGCCCGATATTGCATTGAACCCCAACTTTGCTCAAGCTATCAATTCAGACATTGCTCCTGTCCTTATAACGTTAATGAATTTGTTTACTCAGATCCTGGACGTGACAAAGTTGTTGCTCCGATTGTAAGATTCAAGAATGCTAATGAGTTGGCTCGTTCATCAGCAATACTGGTGTCATTAGATGAATTTGACAGCTTATTTTTAAGGTATGCATATTTTTTATCGTCTGACTTAGGTTTTTCTTATTCTTAAACAATTCTGTGTTTACATGAATTTTTTGTCCTTTCCTCCATACTTTAGGGTTTGAGTTGCATTGGCTATACATTCTTCAACCTCTCCGACCATGTGTTATTTTTTTTTGCCTTTCCCAAGATTTTGTGGTGATATTTATTATGGGGTGAGTGTTCGTATTGAGTGGGTAGCCTTGGTCAAGGTGAGGCATGCAATAAAAAATTAGGAATCTTTTTATATGGCCAAGTTCGGAGCATCCCTACGGAGGAATATGTTTCTTCAAAGATCCTGTGCTTTCTTTCACTCCAAGCTGCCCAAATATGTCTGCCATACGATAGCCCTATAGGGTATTGCCACTCTGACTTTCCCAAAACCTCAAAATGGAAATAACAAGAGACTTATGTCCCTTGGAGCTGCCCATAGGTATTTAAAGTCTCTGGCAGTCCCAAAGTGACTGGACATCTGAGCAAAATTGCAGTTGGAAGTTTCATTGCACCTTTTGGCTATCATATAAAAAAGGATAGGCTCAAGGCTTTATGTTGATTCCTAGTGTTTAGCATATACTATTTTATGTGTTTTTAAGATGTAAGCCGACTTAAGGCCTTAGCCAAGTTTAACAGAAAATGAGGAGAAGGTGGGGGGGGGGGGATCATTGACCAAAGACAAGAAGATCTTCGCTAGGTACTACAAACATTATATGTCGCATTGAGGCCAATAAGGTAACTAGAATTGTCAACTCAAAATTGGAAATTTTACGAATGATTGAAATATCATTTTCTCAGTCAATTCTTAAGCACAAAGAGCAGCTTTGTAGTTTCCATAGATAACTCCCTTAAGCCTTCAGTATAGGTATGTGTCTATCTAGCCCCCAATAGTTTCAAGCATTTGCCAGAAACTTTTGATTGTAAAAACAATTGGGAGGCATTCCTTTTTCTTCTTTTAAGGCAAGATAAAAAGGTTGTAGATGAGAAAGATCCATAAGAATTCAGTCACCCACCAACATCTTTCCTCTTATGGGAGGAAAATAAAATTTTGCCATGGTGAATTAAATTCACCCAAGGCCAAGATAAATACATTTTTGGTTCAAACTCTCAATGTGTTATCAACTTATCATTGACCAAGAGGCAAGAATCAAAATATCGTTTTGAAACGATCGAAACACCCGAAACGTTTTCATTTCCAAGGAGACCGAAACGAATCAGTGATGGAATCGAAATTCTAATACTTCGAAGTGTTCTATAATGTTTTGAAATGTTTTGTTATATTTCAATGTATTTGTACAATTATTTTGGAATGTTTCAATGTATTTCAAGATATTTTAGTATGTTTCGACCGATGTTTTAAAAAAATAATTCTTAAATTTTTTATTTTTTTCATTATGTTTTCGAAACGGGTCAAAATGTTTTTGAAACATGTCGAAACGTTTCCGTTTCTTAGGTGACCGAAACAATGCACCGAAACAAAATTTTGATCCTTGCCAAGGGGGAGGTTTTCATTCCTTGTCCACACTTTTTCTTTCCAATATTTTCCCGGCCATAGGATCACATTTATTCTTCCCATGTTATCTATTCCATGCATATTTTAGCATTTATATGGCTGATGCATGTGGAAAATAATGTTTTCCGTGTCAACATTTGGTGATGCGATTTGCTTTGTGTTAGCAATGCTAAAATTTGGTTTCTGTTTCAGAGTATCTAATGACTCAGATTTTGCTCGGAATATAGCTGGTGTTTTAGTTGAATCAGGAACTATGAGTATGAATCAATTAAAAGGTAACAATGAAGTTACATAAAAATCCTCTGTACAACATTAGGCTAGTGAAGAACAGTTTGCTGGAAGCTATGTAGTGTGACTATTTCCCTTTGCAGGATTGTCTCCAGATAAAAAGTTTCCACAAGCTGAGTTTGCTCCTTACCAAAGCAATGACTTTGAATGGAACCCAACTGTAAGTCATGAACTAATATAGGTATAATGAATCATTGAGTTTTGGATAACCAATCAAGATTTGTCTGACATATTATATATTGTCTTTTTGTTGTTTCAAATATGTTTGGTTGAAAACAGGTGAGACAGGAAATATAAAGCAAAATGAACTGTTTCAATTTTAAGTTTTAAACCAAACAATTTTAAGACGGTAATAGATGGCCTTGCATGGCAATTGGTGAGGATTGTGTAAGGAATGTGATGAAAGTATGGCTTACTTGTTCCTTCTCCATCGCATAGCTATTTTCTTGAGTGCCTTAGGTGTGGGTCACACCTTGTGGCGTTGTCTCTATCTGTGGTGGGTTTTGATGGTTTTGGGAGCATTAAAAATGCTTCTACGCTATGGAGATGTGTAATTTGGCCTTTTAGGTGGTGTGGATGGACAGAAACTACACAATATCTGAGGTAAGGAGGAAGAGATGGAGTGGATATGGGATAGAATAAAGTTTTTGACATCTCTTTGCCTGGTGGTAGCTAATGAGTAATGAGTTTCGTGACACTCCTGTATCGGTTCTTCAACACAATTGAAAAGTTGTTTGCAGTTGATAGCCCTTTTTCTTAGTTGATTTATTTTTTGCTCTTTTTGGGTGGATTTCTTATCTGCTATTATATAGATTTATATATTTCTAAGGAGTGAAAGTTTTGTTTCTTTAAAAAAAAGAGAGAAAAGGACCTGATAAAAACAGACTTGATGACAGTTTAAACATTTGCATGTCACTTTTGTCCTGGTAGAGTGTTAAATGCGGCTTTTGATTGGCAGGCCTTAAATTATTACTATTAAAGTTTGTTCCTAGCTGAGTTTTACCAATATGAAACGGATATAACGTTGGGTTACGTCATAGAAGATTAATAAGCACCTATTTAGAAAAAAGGGTGGTGCTGTTGACTTGATCGCTCGACCATATGAATAGGGTATATATCTTTTGCTTTGCATTTCTTGGATTTACAGGTTGGCGTGGCAGATTATTAGCAATTTTTATTGTTGTTTTGAAAGAGAGAAGAAGGGGGGGGGGGACTTAAACTTATTGGTTATGGCTACTGTGGAAGAAAAATTACCACAAATTAGTCAAAATGTTTCGAGTGTTTAATGGTTGGGTAGGAGCTGATCCTTTTTTTGTTATTGTATAATGTATCTGCTTCTTACATGGAATAGTACTGCATTTTGGATTAGGGAACTCCAGTTTATGTTCTATTAAAGGAACTAAAGCATCATCACATACCATTTGCAGGGATCTGGTATTCTGTGGAAATCTTATGGTTTTCCTGTATTCTTACTTTCTCAGAGTAATACTTCAACTTTGCTGGAGGTAAATTGCCTGTCGTTTTCCCTTTTTATAATTTCCCTCTCATGGTTAACTGTTGCAAAAAAGTTCTCATTTTTATGGTGAAGTGGACTTTCTTTTGATTCTTGAAGTTTGAGAAATAGGACATAGAAGCTCCTCAAAGAATTGATGTCACTGTATTTCCAGTTAATCTAATTAGGTCAAGTCATTCGCACAGCCATAATTTTCTGACCACTTTCTTGAGTAAATTTCTGAAAATGACTTTATGGTGTAGCAATACGGCATTATCCTGTCTTGGATGGAGCAGGATGGGGCAAAGGTCCTGTTACTGGTCTGACCTGCACAATTGTATATGCTCAGATTACAAGAGTGCTATTGATATAGTTATGCAAACCTCTTGTTGCCTAAGTAACTTAATGGACATGGAATATGAGGGTTAATTGATGTTTATACCACATTTCAACAAGTGTCTTACTAAAATTTCAACCAGAGGAGGCACTAATCATTGGATCCAACCTGTGCCTGTTATTTGCCCTTAATGTATGCATGGCCTTTCATGAGTCAGTGCACCTCTATGGATTTCAGTCATCAGAGCTTGGTTTTTGCATTTCTTCTGTTAAGAAACGAATTATTTCTCATACATGCAGGTTGCCATGAAGAATGAAAAGAGCAAGAAAGGTTATACTGAAGATGTGGCTGAATTTGATCTTGTCATGCAGGTACATGTTTCTGCTGGTGCATTTTGATAAGTTCGGCATCTGGCACTACTTTTAACTGAACCTTCTAGAGTCATTCTGAGTTTCTACTTACTGCTCAATGTTACACATGATCCTGATTTTTATTAGACAACAAAAGCTGGAACTCATGATTCAAAGTCTTGTTTGAAAGAAAACACTTGCCTTCCATTGGGTGGATACAGGTGAGTGTGTTTTCTAATTTTACTCCTATGTATGATCGATGTGTTTAGTGGATATATACAGGTAACTTACGGTTGTTATGTCTTGGAGTTAGTTGATGTTGAGTGGTACATCCATCAGGGTGGTGATTCAGGTTTTGTGTGGGTTCAAACATTCACTCTCCCTTCTTTTACATACATTTTGTTCCTATGATCCTATCTCAAATTTCCCTGGAACATAATGCAGATTGAATACTTTGAATGTTAGCTACTTGGTCTATCACCTTGGTACTGGTGTGCCACATAGTCAGATCACAGATGCATTTTACTACCTTCTTCCACAGTGCATGTCCTATTCACTCTTTCCATTTACAATGTTGGCTGACCTGTGGAATGAAATTAGGCTCTGGGTAACAGTTAAGACCATATGTAATCTTTCATCCACTTCTTCGGAAGAAAACCGATGGTGTTAATCACTATTTTTGCAATCAGTTAGTACATCTTTAAAATTTATAATTAAAACTGAATCTGAACACTTTTACTACATTTAGTGGCGTGATCAAAATATTGATATTGTTGTTTGTTCATTATAGTCGTGCTATTTTTGTAGTTTTCTAGTAGCTTCCATTGGACAATAGTCAGACTGTAGTGAGTTATGTGAGGACTGAGCATTATTTGCGGAATGCAGTATTCTATGACAAACACCATTGTAGTTAGAGGTGTACTGGGGCTAGAAAAGGGCCTGGGTTTAACTTCCAGGCGGAAGCTTTTTTATAGGCTCTAGGCTTAGAAAAGTGTGCCTTATCTTTTAATCATCCAATCATATCCTTTTTCTTTTCCTACCTTTTTAATCTGCCCTATAGTAAATCATGGTTGTTTTTGCCTTATACTATTGTTGTTGTACTGTCTGATATTTGGTACTCTCAACTCATTTGCTTGTGCTTGGCTAGTTGAATTTGATGTTTCTACTTCTTATTTCAATATAGATGCTGGTATATGTATATTCGAGTCTATATGATTGAAACCCTTTATCCTGTGCGTGGATACTTGCATATTGATGTCACTAACCCTCCTTGGTGTGCAAGTCATGTATACATGAAGTTCACCTCGGGCGAGAGAGGGAAAAACAGAGCAAAAGCATGACCTATGCTAGATACAAAGGGAAACAAAAACAAGCAAAAATGTTGCATAAAACTATTCCCTCCAAGCTCTAGAATAAGAAACTTGAACCTAGGAACTAAATTTCGTTGTTAAATGGCTTTCCATGGAAATCGATACGAATAAATGATTGAATGTTGAAATTTCATGTTTTGAGGTGTTTTGGTTTGTTTCGATGTGTTTTAGTATGTTTCGGTAATTGTTTCGACATATCTCGATCAAAATTTAGAATATTTTGCAAATACACTTCTAATTTTGTTGTTGTTTCCATCATAGTTTTGAATTGTTTTCTAGACGTTTCTATTTCCAAACTGACCAAAATTATGCTCCAAGACGCAATTTTGATCCTCGTCTTGAACCCCTCCAAAGAGAACACACCCTAATGAGAAAATCAATATAACATGATTCTCCAAAGGCTACTCTTTAAATCTGAAACTGATGCCTTCTCACTCTCAAATTGCCTCTGATGCATTCCAATCAAATTCTTCGCGAGACACTCGGAGTCGTGACCCTTGCTAAATGCCTCTCCTCCTACTATAACCTCTTTTTTTTTTTGATAAGAGACAAACAATATATTGATTACCAAAATGTCAAAACAAGGGTCAATTCGAAGGTGGACAAGATGTCCAACTCAAAGACGTTTGAAAATAAACAACCAAAATAACAAAATTACAAACCACATGAAATTTTCCAACTAGCTCTAATACAAGAGAGAGGAATATCAACAAACTCTTTAGTTGTTGAAGTCGAGCCAAAAAATGAAGTCTATCCCATAATCCTTCATATTTATTCTAAAAAATTCTTGCATTTCTTTCTTTTCAAATCACCCAAAACGTAGCAAAGAAAGCATTATGCTAAAAACTTTTCCATTTCCTATTTCCCCCAAAGCCCTCATCATTTAAGCAAGAACATAGAATTCATATCTCTTGGTGCAACCCAAGAAAAATTTGCAAGGTTAAAAAGCTTATTCTAAAGAACTTGCGCCAAGGGGCAATGCAAAAATAAGTGATCCACACTCTCATAATCACTTGTACACATAACACACCATTGCGGTTGAAGACAAAAATTTGGTCTCCTCTTTTAAAGGACCTCATTAGTACTCACCTTATCATGGGCAATAATCCATGCACAAACTTGCAACTTCACTTTAGTCTTCCAAATCTTCGGTGATGGTTCGAAAAAAGGTAGTAAAGGATCATCAATTAAAGACTCAAAGAAAGCTTTACAAGAAAAAAGACTTTTTGGATCACCAATCCAATACCTCCTATTCTCCAAATTAGGAATCAACATAACATTATTAAGCTTGGGAACAAAACTCATCAATTTCAAACGTTCTCTATCAATAAGACTCCTATGAAAACCAAAGTCGCAAGAGATTGACTAAGAATATGAACAAACCATAGATGAAACCCAAGCACCTTGATGATAAAAAACTTGATACAGTCGAGGGAAAAGAATAGAGAGAGAAGACTCACCTACCCAAATATTTTCTCAAAACTGCACTCTAGTTCCATTACCCATAATAAACTTAACTCTTTGAAAAAAACAAGGTAATTCTTGAAAAATGAACTTTCATTGACTTCGAAAATTACCCCATTCAACATCATTAGCATTCTACCCATTAGCCAATAAACTATACTTGCTCCTAATAATGACGTGCCACAGTGAATCTTGTTCCAAAGGGAACTTCCAGAACTATTTTTCAACCAATGCTACATTCCTCTTTACTAAATTCTCTATCGAAAGCCCCATTTATTTTTTATCCTGGTCACCACCTCCCAACGAATCAAATGGCCTGTCCTTCCTTCTCCCACCTCTTCCTATAAGAAATCTCTCATCAAACATTCAACTTCCTTAGCTCTCATAACAGGCATTCTTAAAAACGACATGAAATATATCGGAATACTAGACAAGACGGATTGAATCAATGTTAATCTACCCTCCTTAGAAATAAAAGATTTTTTCCCTCTATCTAATCTCCTCTCCACTTTCTCAACCACAAGATCCCAAAAAGTTATAGACAATGGGGTACCACCCAAAGGAAGTCCTAAGTATCTCAATGGCACTCACCTACTAAACATCCTACCTTATGTACCATCCTTTCCACCTTTTCTTGACTAGAATTGATGCCCACGATAATACTTTTTTCCATATTAATCTTTAGAACATACATTACACCAAAAACATCAACAACCATCTTTAAATTCCTTATCTTTTGCTCATCCCCCGATGAAAATACTATAGTATCATATGCAAATTGCAAATGAGAAACTGTAATCCTCTAGATCCCTATCATAAACCCATTAACTAAATTACATCTCTCTACTTTCTCCATCAATCTACTTAATCCATTCACCACCATAGTAAACAAGATAGGGATCCCTTTGTTTGAGCCCCTTGTAAACCTTGAATCTACCCTTAGGTTTTCCATTCATAATGACCGAACAATTCACCGATTCCACTCATACCCTAATCCACCTTCTCCATCTCTCACAAAGTCCTTTTATTTCCAACACATTTTTCCATGGGATCCTAAACCACATAATCATAAGCTTTTTCAAAATCAATCTTCAACACAACACCTTCTTCTCCTTTCTCTCTGTGCTCTTTAACAATCTCATTGGCAACAAGTACCATATCCATCATATGTCTCCCACTCACAAAAGCCCTTGATATTGAAATTGTTTCACATCTCAAGGAACTCCAAACAAACAAAAAAGACCTTAACTAACTTTGTGTTGCATAATTGTTTAAATTTTCAATTGCACGTGATAGTTGGATGCGTCTGTGGAGGAAAAAAGATATATATGTCACTAGCGAAATTCGTGTCTGAACTTGAGATCCAAACAAACAAAAAAGACCTTAACTAACTTTGTGTTGCATAATTGTTTAAATTTTCAATTGCACGTGATAGTTGGATGCGTCTGTGGAGGAAAAAAGATATATATGTCACTAGCGAAATTCGTGTCTGAAGACACTGTGCAATTCAAAAAAATTCGAACATTAATCATGGACACGAAAAAATCAAGTACTGGACATAGACATGCAATAAGCTTACAGCCTAAACTGCATCCTTAACACACCCGCACTTTGCATACATGCTCGACAAAGTATTATTTATACGAAGATTCTTGTGAAGACAAATTTCAATGAAGAGATAGAGAAAACCCAACTTTAATAGTCAAAGTCCTACAAAATTAAAATTAAAAAGCCTATAAATTTCATATGCTTGAAGCTATATACGTAATTAGAACTCACACTAGCGCCATAAATATTTATTCAAACATCAACTTACAGGGTTTTGCAAGCTTATTCCTTTAAAAAAAATGCTCATGCATGAAGGCACTATGTTATGCTAAAAAAAAGTCAATATCTAATCAAAACAATTTTTCTTTATTCTTTTAAAAAATTTGGACAAAATTTTCCCTAAAAATAGGACCCCAAGAAAATATTAACCTATATGGACAATCTATAAAATACTAATTACCCAATCTACCCTCTATAAAATGCTAGTTAAACAAATAAACTATAAACCCCGCATGACATTCCTCAAATTTAGTTGCTCCAATCCAATCAATATGTGTTGACTACTTCAAATCAAGACCCACAAATCATTTTGTGCTGCCTATATAGATGGCCATGGTTGTAGTTAAATAATAAAACATCATGTCCCTTTTATGCATAAAGTAGTTGAAGGCATTATGTAACCAAACTAAAAACCATCACCTATATCTTTCAAAACCACCTCCAAACACCATGAATAAACCCATCCTAGCATAACAAAGATTAAAATCTTTTAAACGTTATCGAAGAGAACACAACTTTTACCTTTGAACACAAATAACACCAATTTTTTCCTAGATGAGTGCAAAACATGTTGAAAAACAATGCTAGCATGAGACATTTGTATTATAATTGTTGAAATACAATGATCATTCAATGCGGATAACATAATCTAGTATATATTTCTTTTGCCCCTAACACCTTATGGCAGGCTTGGTTCTACAAAAACTCAATTGAAATCAAAGTAAATATTGATGTAATTGTATGTTTTGTCACAAAATTTACACTTTACCAAGCAACTTTTCCAACTATAACCCAAATTCAAACATAAGCATGATCAACACAGGAGATCTGTATAATGGATAAATCTTACACTCTCGAGATAAAGTGGTAAACAAAGAATAGATATAATTGAAGTGCCAAACAAATGCATATAATAGAACCCAATGACTTAAAGATAGAATTCTAGGTGAAAATATAGAATTGGTAGTAATACATTTAAAGGCCGAAAACATTCAAACGGAGTCGTAGTGTGAAATATCTTACAGTAAGCCCATAGCTTAAAGATCGGATTATCTACTAAATTTTAACTTGGAGTAAGCAATAAAAAATTAAAGTATCTTGCAGTAAGTAATAATATAATGTCAATGAATACCATAAATTATTCTAAAAAACCAATTAAAATCCAAGGAATAGAACCCAATAAACTTCATGGAAGTAGTTGCCCACATAAAACCCATCCAAAAAAACCAATTAAAACTCATCCCAAACAAACATAAATTCATCCCAGTATTGACACAAACCAAGAAACCAAAGAGAAAAAGGACTATACAAAAACCAAGAAGCCAAGTTCCTATTAGGCATTTTCTCAAACGTCTTGCGAGCAAGCCCAAAAAGGTAGAAATTGAACAAATCTGTAAGCATAATAAAAAAATAAAAAAAAAATAGAGAACTCAATTGAAAATTGGAATCGGGCCAAAATAGCAAACAAAAATCAATGTGTGTACTATGTGTTGTGCGTGGGTTTGTATGTTTGTTGTGTGTGTGTGTTGTGTGTGATGTGTGAGTGGGCTGGTTGTGTGCGTAAGCTGTGGAGTGCGTGTGTAACAAAAAAAATTGTTAATTTGGAATATTTTTCCTTCATTTGCTTTTAATTAGAGAAATTGAAATCAATCTAGGCTCCGCTAATTTTCCAAAAAGTTTCAATAGAATTTCCTCTAAAAATAGTAGTTCAGATAAATATCAACATCTCACAAAATTTACATATCTCATAATCATACCCAAACCAATTACATAACTCACCATCACGGCTATAACCCTACTTAAACACTACTATTTACCTACTACCACAACATTATATTGGTATTAACCATAAACAATGATAAGTAATTGTAATAATATATTACACTTTCATGTAGTACCAAAATTGTAGTGATTATTACTGTCAATGCCTCATTCGTTAACCTAGGCACTCAACCTTTTACAACAAACAATACATATCCAATTTCACCCATACCAATAATTATTTCTTTTGTAATTTTGCAATCAATCATGAAAATTCCTTTGCATAACATGAGATGCATAGATTTGATGCTAGAAAATTTTCAAATTGAAAACTAAATAGGCAGCTCAACAATCTATTAATAGTATTCCAACTAATGTCCTTCTAACAAAAAAGGTAACCAACTAATATGGTGGCCAACTATGTTTAACAGAGAACCAAACTATAGGCAGGGGGTGCACTATGTTATACACACAATAGTAATATTAAAAACACGGCCCAAACCAATTGTTGGACTCACAATCACTCTGCATTTCTACCTCAATACAAAAAACTCATAGTGAAGGATGAGAACCACTTTCCAATCTAATATACTTGGTGTTCCTAAATTTTCAACCATGGCAAGAGAATTAATATCATTAATTCAAGTGCCTTTTACTCCATTGCATTATTTTTGGACATAAAATATTATGCAAATTATAGTAGCTACCCAATTCTTTCAACACATGGGTTTTCTTGAATACTCAGAATCCATTAACACAAAATAGATCACGACTTCCAAAAAGAACACATGGTATTAACCATGCCTTCTTCGATGCTTTAACCTTGAATTCCCTCTTGACTTCTAAAAACACGAAAACAATCATTTAACACCCAAAAATCCTTAGGCCGTTAATTGGAGACCAACCTACAATCCCTTGCAAGCTTCGATTATGCCTACTATTGTTTAGAAAATGAAACAAAAACCCATTAAGCATCACTAAAGTCAACAAAAAAAAACAAAAATAGTTGGCGGCAAGTATCAAAATATTGTTTTGAAACGGTCGAAGCATCGTAACGTTTCCACTTTTAAGGAGATCGAAACGAATCAGTGATGAAATCGAAATTCTAATACTTCGAGGTGTTCCATAAAGTTTCGAAATAATTTGTTATATTTCAATGCATTTGCACAATTATTTTGAAATATTTCAAGGTATTTTAAGATTTTTTGATATATTTCAATCAATGTTTTGAAAAAATAATTCTTAAATTTTATTATTTTTTATTATATTTTCGAAATGGGTCGAATCGTTTCTGAAACATGTCGAAATGTTTCTATTTTTTTAGGTGATCGAAACAATGTACCGAAACGAAATTTTGATTCTTGGTTGGCGGGCATCTTTGCTTGGTACAACAGGTTAGTGGTAATTAGCATAAAACCACATTATAACAACTTAAAACACAGTAGAAATCCAGACCTAAAAGAAACAGATACCAAAAATACATTAAGGTCACCTGTGTATAAAAGAGAAGAGGGAGAAAATCACCTTAAATCGAACTCAAATAAGAGCACGTATACTGGAAATACACGAGGATTGACCATCTCCAACAAGAAAAAGAGTTGTTTTTCCTTTTTCCTTCCACAATAATTTTCGTCCAAGTGGTAATAAGCAACGTCAAAAACGAAATGTGGTTCTTCTTTTGAATTAGATTAGCAGCTTTATACCACTGCTCAGGCGTTAAATCAATGCCAGTTGGGTTGTGCGCACAACCATGAAGCAACACAAGTTCCTTCTGGCAGGCTGAAGCAAATGTCAATTTAGTAGATAAGGTATATTTCTCTAACAAGTTGTTATATAAACAATTTTTTCCAAAGGGTCCGTTTGTTTAGCTAGAAAATGCTAGAAAATACAAGAAAGAAAAAATTTTAAAATTTTACATGCGTTTGTTTAGCATGAAATAAAAAATGATAGAAAAAATAATTTTCTCTCATGTTTAGATTTTCTCACATCTAACTAACTTTTTTTTCTTACAAAAAACACAAGAAAAAGCAAGAAAGTTGTATTCAATAACTTTACTTCTCATTTTGCCCTTATTTTTCTTAAAATATTCAAGTAGTTATTAATTTAAAAAAAATATATACAAATTAGACTAATCATATAATTTGGTGTAGAGATTAAGGTTCGAGTCGTTCTTTGTTCTTGAATTAGGTTAGGAGTCAATTTTTTAAAAATTTGAATAATAAAAAATATATTTTTCTTCTTTAGACAGAGTTAAAATGCTTAAGGATAATTTAGACAATTAGAAAATTTTTCTTATAACTTTCTTTTTTTTTTAAACAATGGAATGAGATTGTTTTAAAATTTTATTAGAAGTTTTTCATGCTAACCAAATACATGCATGAAAATATATTTTTTTTCACTTTTTTTTCTTTCACTTCATTTTTCACCTCTTTTACTTTCCATCACCTTTTTCTTGCTAACCAAACGGACCCTAAATAAAAAAATTAGATAGATAGTAAACAGAAAAATTAAACCGGACAGAAACCAATTTGAAGTTTCAACCACTGACAATGAAATTTGATAGAAATCAGTTAACGCCTATGTATTTATAGTTTTCCTAAACAGAATTGTTTATATAACAGGAAAATTCATATAGATAGTAAACAGTATAATGTACAGGACTTGAAGATCTTTAAATGGTTTACCTGAAAAAGAATACCTTGTCGTATAATTTTGGCACACTCCAATCAGAAACATGATATCTTACATTCATATTCACATTCGTATCATCAACACTACCATCTAAAGCTTCAAGCTTGGTTAGCACCGTAGCAGTAATTAGAAAAAAATTCAAAGAAATGAAATTTTCGTAAGCATCCATAAAATTCTTACTCTTCAAGGTGCAATACACAAAATGGTATCAACATTCACAATTAGAAATTGAAAAAACATCTCTCAGAAACAGTTCAAATATTAGAAAACTCGGCACCCAAAATAGAAAAGAGTTTCGAACTTTCAAACCGATTAAGATTAACCTTGAATAATCGAGTCAATACAAAATCAAAGACGTGAGAAGGAGAGAGGGGATGAGAGAGGATATAGATGCTAGAGAGAGAGAAAAGGAGGGAAGAGACAGTCATAAATATGGGGTGCTTGAGATACATATGAGTGGGAAAGTTAGAAAATGAGACATTTTTCGCCTTTGGATTAAATTTGAAAAGATCTTAACCTTTGTTTATGTGCACACATGCTATGGTAATCGAACTGCATATTTCACCTAAAATAACACTATTAACCTTATTACAACCATATCCGATAACCATAAAAAGAAAAACGCATAACTGATTGCATAACAATAAGGATAAAGGCATACTCAAGTTCAAATGCTATCCTGCTAAACAATTCACAACTTCAATTGAAAGCAAAAATATAAAAATGAAAGAATCATTTACCTCTTATAATATAGTTTCATAAATCAAGACAAAAAAATGTAAATCGCACTAACAAATGAAAAACCCATGAAAATAACAAACCCAAAAAACAAACTACTTTTTTGGAGGTCACTGTCGCCGTTGGAGCTATGTTGTCGCCAATTGCTTGAGCTGTAAACATCAATGGCCGCTGCCCTTCTTGAAGTTCACCCAAAAAATAAAAAACTGGCATTAGACAAAATAAGTTCACAAAAAATCAGAGAAAATTATCCAGCTCGTTGAAATAATAATACAAACAATTGGTATTTGATGGGCTGTGATGAGTTTCGGTGGCAGTCTGGTGGAAAGGGGGAAAGGAGGAAGGGGGTGGAGGTGGTGGTTGGCATGGGGTAAAGAGTTTGCTTTGGATATGTGGAGTGTTCAATGTTTTTTTTTTTTGGGGGGGGGGGTTTGTGAGAGAGAGAGAAAGAGATATTGTGGTTTTCAGTGAGCTGCGGTGGTTTTCGGTTCGATGGTGTGGAGGTGGGTGGGGGCTGGAAAGCAGAGAGAGAGAGAGAGGCACGGAGAGTACCTCTCCGGTGTCGTCGTGGGCGTCACTGGGGTGTGGCATCGGGGAGTGAATGGGTGGAAAGAGAGTGAAGAGGGAGGAGATCAGTGACAGAAGAGAGATAAAGGGGAAAGAATAAGCAGAGAGAAGGTGGGGGCATAGATGAGATTGAGAGAGTTGAGACTACAAGGGGTGAGGAAAGAGAGAGAAGACACGTGACAGAAGGAACACGCCAGGGAGGGGGTGTGGATGTGACATTTTTTAGGGGGGGAATTTTTTGAGAGTGATTTTACACCTTTGGATCAATTTTCTTGATCCACTCTTGTGCTTAGCCCACTTTGCCATTTGCCAGTCTTATTATTATAGATTACAATTTGACTACCTTTTCATAATTATGCCAGTAGAGTTCAACTTTTTCTCCTATTGTTATATATGTATATTTGTGTGTAACTGTGTATGTATGTAAGCATATTCTTATTTTGGCTAGCTTGTGTTGTGCATATTGAATTTCAGCTCACATTTTTATCACTCAAGTGCATTTCTTTTCTCTGGCTGTGCTTGCCAGTGTGCTTAGATTCTTCAAGGCCTAGGTGCCTTACTTCACCTTAGTTTTTCATTAGCATTTATTGTGAAGGGCATGTTTTCTTATAAACTAGTCACTAGTTCTATTGTTTTAGTCATACCTCTGCCATGAATGGATTATATATAACTGTTCTTATCGAAAAATGGATTATATATAACTGCTACATATAGAATCTGGAAGGTTTGTTCACCTTAGGTTTTCGCTTCATGCATCTTAAATATGAAGGGCAGTGTCTGGTCGGCTCTTCCACCAATCAATGTTTCATCCTTAGAAAGGTCCAAGCCCATCATATTAACAGTGGCATCAATGGATTCTGCTTCCTTTTTCCGTGACAAAAGCCTTGGTGCAGATTCCCCTATATCTGTAAGTTAAAAGTTTTCTTGCGTCAAATTATCTCATTATGTTTTTTCTATAAGGCTTTTTCTTTCCTAATTAATGTCGAAAAGTCATGTTTTAAACAACTATCTAGGGGATGATCTCATTGCTGGCTGCAGTGGATGCACTTTCATACTTGGATGGTTTGCATGACCTCAGTAAACAGGTGTGTATAGATTTGCACTCCTTATATTACAGCTGCAAGTTATTTATGCTCCGAGCTTTGCTCGAAGAGTGTGCCTTTTTACATAGGTGGTAAGAATGTGGCTTGGTCTTTAAAATTCTATTCTTTAGTCACTCTCTTTCTCATTATTGGGCACCAAGGATCAAATTTCGTTTCGAAGTACCGTTTCGGTCAACTCAAAAATAGAAACGTTTCGGAAACATTTCGGAAACGCAATGGAAACACAGAAAAAATATGGAAACGCATAGAAACACAAATGCAATCCATTAATTTATAAAGATATGCTAAATAATTTATTAATTCAACATATTTATTAGGTTAACATCAATTTATACAAGAATAAATTTAAATTTGAGGGAAAAAAAGGCTTGACTTGAGGCGAAAGTCACTTAAATTAGTTTCAAACACTTAATTTTTATGAAATAAACACTTTTTTACATAATATTAAGGTCTTATAATACACATGAAATGCTAATGAGTACATACTTACATGGTTACATCCATTCCCCTGTGGAGTGTCGAGCAGGCTCATACATCGGTGTAGGCTCTGGGTAGCTACTTAGAGAAACTCCATATGTGACATAAATATGATGACAATAGTTACTCCAAATCATATTATTACGGTAATATAATCCAATTAATAATACTATTTTATTATAATACTAATAATGAAGGGTATCAAATTAAATTAATGATACTTATGTATACTTAAAAATTAAATGTAATTGCAGTGGGTATTAAATGTAATTACAGTAGGTATTAAATATAATTACATTAGGGTATTAAATGTAATTGTTAATACTTATAACAAAAAAAAAAGCAAAAAACTTGCACAGCAGTGAGGTATTAAATATAATTACAGTATGTATTAAATATAATTATAATGGGTATTAAATATAATTATAGTAGGGTATTAAGTGTAATTATTTATTCTTATAACAAAAAAATTATAAAAGACAGAAGAGCAGTGGGAATTAAATGTAATTATAGTGGGATATTAAATATAATTATAGTGAGTATTAAATGTAATTACAGTGGGTATTAAATGTAATTATAATGGGGTATTAAATGTAATTATTCATAATGAACCGAATATATCACTGTTTTGTCGAAACGGTACTGTTTCGATCGAAACGGTTCGAAACAATGCCGTTTCGACCGAAACGGTCCGAAACAGTACCGTTTCGACCGAAACACTGGAATTTTGTGATTCAACTACTGTTTCGTTTCTGAGTGTTGAAATTCCGAAACGTTTCGGACGTGTCGACACGACATTTTGATCCTTGTTGGGCACACATATGTAGTTGAATTTCTTAAATTGCAAGTGTTACTTATCAGGCTTTTTGTTTCCACTTTTTGAGAAAAATATATATTTGTGCCTGGTTCAAGTGCCTGTAAGAATAGTGAAGGATTAATTTTCGCAGACATTGTCACCGATGGAAAACTTCCTCCTATTGTGTCAATCTTCCTGGTGACAGATGTTATTCAAAAAACTGATCATCTATCTACTGTTGCTATATGAGGCATTCTGCAAATATGCATCTTGGGCTAGGCATAAGCATGGGGGTCACTGGCTCTTTGCCATGTGCTTAAAGATTTTTGGCTTCTCTGCATTATCCTTTCACCCAGTTTATTGTATTCATGGCCAACTAAATTCACAAGCAGAATGTTATACCCAAAGAGGCGATTAGAGGAATGTCTTTTACTCTAATTGCATGTCTTGTGATTCATTTGAGACTAGTTTATTTGGCTGGTTGTCATGTGACTTTTTTGACCTTTTTGTTATTGGAATGGATTGCAATGGTTGTTGTAGCTCTATTGTATCTTGTAAACTTCTTCTTGTTTGGCTGATCCTTCTCCTTTCCCTTTTCTGTACTGCAGCTTGTTTTTGTGGTTTTTACCGGAGAAGCCTGGGGCTATCTTGGTAGCCGGAGATTTCTTCTTGAACTTGATCAGAACTCTGATGCTGTTTATGGCCTTAACAACTCGTTGATTGAAAAGGTATATTTCTCTTCTAGTTAGAATCAGACTTCCATAGTGTTTTTTGTAAGAGGATTGTGTAACATCACAGATGTTGGTTGAATAGCTGATATTTTTCCTACACATTTTTGAAGAGAATGTCCAATCTAATATTGAGATTGGCTTCAAAACGAGGCCAAGCTGGCTAACAAGAAAAGAGCAAATTAAAAGTGCTGAGTCCTAACATAATAGGACAGGTTCTAGGGAAGAATCTGACTGGTGGTTAAAGGGCATGGAGTAAGGAGGGAGAATGACATCAAGCTTGAGCAAGAGGCTCTCGGCTTTTTCTGTTCAGTATTGGAAGAAGCTTGTGGAAGGAAGGCTGGCAAGGACTGGACTGGAGTGGTGTCAGAAGAATGGAAGCGTGATTCTCTCTGCATCTATCAGAGACAATATGTGGATTGGCAGCCGTTTCATGGTCTTGGAGGAGACATCAAATGACATATTTATCTGCGCCATGAATAGAGGGTGACCGATCCATCTACTTATTTTATTGAGAACAAAATGAATGGAGGGTATGCAGGGGTGGATATTGCTTTTAGAAGATGTGCATAGCAAGATTGAGGAACCATAGGGAACAAGAAGGGAATTTTTGAGCTGTGACATCCCTAAGACAATGGCGGACATGCAAAACGAAGGTGACAGGACAGTGAAACTCTGATGGTGGACAGAGATCTTGGGAGAAGGCCAATTACCTGAGGAGGGTCCTACTAAAGGATCAAAATTTCATTTTTTCCCCGCCAAAATAACCAAAACGTTTCCGTTTCCATAGAAACAAAATGAATCGGTATTTGGATATTCAAATTCCTATTTTTCGAGGTGTTTTGGAATATTTTAAGGAGTTTCAGGATGTTTCAAGGTGTTTTGGCCAATGTTTGGGATCCCATTTAGCTCTTAGCATGAGGCCACGGCTGTGTGGAATAAAGTGAAGCAGAGATGCCTCTAAAAAGGTGGTAGACTTGCACTCTTGAGAGATCTTCACTTGCAAACATTCTTTCCTATCCCAGCTTTAGTGGAAAAAAGACTGGAAATGATTCAGAGGGATTTCCTTTGGGGAGTTTTGAAGAAGGAAAGGATATTTCATCTAGTGTGGGTGGGAAGGGAAGTTTCATCCGGTAAGTTTGATTCACTGGAGGAAAGGAAGTTCCTTCCATGGGTTGTGATAGGAATATTAATACTTTGATTTGAAAAGATACCAGTGTGTAGATTTTGTTTCTGGTTAAGGGATTTTATTTTTTGGATGATTTATTGCCCTTGGAAATGTGGTCTGCTAGACATTTTGCAAAAGGAGTCCTGATCTAGTGTGCATTTTCTACATTCTAGATAAAAGGATAGGAAAATTTGTGCAAATGTAAAACCCAGCCTCCTTTCCATTTTTGGGAAGTCATGGTGTATACAAAGCTGGTTCTTAAGTATTGTATCTTGAAGAAGTTGGAATGCCAGTAATTGCACTTGCATGGCTGCAGAGCCTTGGTTCTGCTTAAAATAAATTCTCATGATAATGAGAATAACAGAGGTTGTTTTTCTGGATCCCTGGGCCTTTTTTGTTGATATGAGCTTTAGATTCCAAATACCTTTTCTTAGCTTTTCTCTTTAGATGCCAACCAAATCATAAGGAAATCAGGACATATTGCATTGTCTTTGAAATTTTACCTGGGCTTATTTTGTAACCTTGTTTTAACTGTAGGCAAATGTGGACGTAACAATTGTGCAGGAGTTTTCTTCTAATTCTTCATTATTTCTGAACTAGAACTCCTACTTAAATTTTTTGTTTCAGCGGTTAATAAGAAGTATCCCAGCGCTGAAAGGGAAGATTTAAAAATGATTGTAGACATTAACCAGAAATCTGATAGCTGTTAATTTTGTGAGGGGTCCATCATGAAGCTGCTGTCTTAGTCTATTTGGTTGAATTAATATTTAGAAAATCTACTTGCCTCCGACATATGTTTAACAGCTGGAGAGACTTCAGAAAACAACTTGCCTTAGCAGCTAGAGAGAAAAAACCAGGTCCACTATTAGATGATAGCCATGCCTCCAAATAGTCATAGAAACTGCGTCTTTATGTTTGGGGTTGGGGGCATGCTGATCAACTGCTGGTCTGTTTCCATAATAAGAATTAAGACAACAGGAGTAACTTTTCAAAAAGAGCTGAAATTTTATTTAAGAACTCACAAGGGGAACACTAAATTCTCTTCACTGTGCTGCATTAGTGATCCTCTGATATGTCTAGAAGCATAGCTTGTCATGCTATGTGGAAATCTGTTGGAAGGTTAAGCAGTCTTAGGTGCCCTCAGCACTCGAGCCATTGCACACCTTACAGGACTAAGTTTTTGTGTATGCTTATCAACATGCTTTGTCATATTATGCATGCCTTGGTTACCTGCTAAGATGGAAATCTCACAATCGGAGGTTAATCCCTTTTATGAATGATAATATTTTTTAACATGCAAAACATTACTATGTGGAATGACTTTGTGCAGGTTGTGGAAATTGGGTCGGTTGGAAAGGGTTTTGATCAGGGGGTCAAAACGTTGTTTGCTCATACAACAGGGGTAAGACATTATTTATTTTTGGAGCCATCTAAAATGTTCCTGTGCATTAATGGCATGTGGATGCATGTTCCTATATCGTATTCTTGTCAACTGTACCTTAGTAACTGGTCACCCGTGCACTTAAGCACTACGGTGGCAGTGACATCCTTAGAAAAGACAATGAATCTTGAATGTGGAGGTGCTCGTGGCTTCCCAGGTATGATGGTCACAACTTGTGACTTTTAGTGACTTAATGGTATAAGCCAGGGCGATGATATTGCTGTCTGGTACTGTGGTTTTTAGGTAGAAGGGTAGTAGAAGCGCTGTTGGTATAAGTGTTTAGATTGTGGTTTTGTGAAAATATTGTTGCAAAACTTAATATGTAGTTGAGGATAGAAAAAGTAGTCCTATACAGTACATCAAAGCAGAGCAAATTTTGGTCATCTTCAACTTCAGATCGAAGCAGTTTAGTAAAGTAGTTGTGCTTAGTTATACTTGAGAAAAGAAGTATCAGTAATTTGATTGTAGTCTATGTCTTATCACTTCTCCCATACATTTATATTTGGTAGATTAATACCTATTGTTTTACCCTTTTTACTTGTTATATGAACAATTAGTTCTGGTATTGGTAGACTTTGTGGACTAAAGCTTGCCTGGTTGTTCTTGCAGGGATTATCGGCCACAAATGAAACATTGAGTGCCTTGCACCGTGCTCAAGATTCACTCGAAACTGGAGGCATTAAGATCTCTAATGCTAGTGCATCGAATCCTGGGATACCTCCGTCATCATTGATGTCATTTCTGAGGAAGGTTTGAACCACGCAAATTTTAGTTCCTATGTTTTGCTTTTACCATCTGGGCCGTGTACCTTCCTGACAGAAGGGGATGCTTCTTGAGCTAGAAGACCCATGGTTCCTGGTTTGTTTGTTTCAAATCATTATTATTGGTTTTTTGGGAACAGTTCCTCGATGTACTAGTAAATCTGTAAATGCCAATTTAGCATCTAATGTCAATTGCAAATATTCTGTTTCACTGAATCATTTACCATTTTAATTTTCTGTTCCATCATCCCTTGATCAAAGAAAAAAAGCAAATACTAGCCTATGTGACTGGTCTGCTCATCTTTGTGATGTAAAATAATGCCCCTTTGGTTTGTTATTGTAACAAGGTTTCAAAATCCTCCCGTGATGGGCATGGTAGTTGTCTGTATCTTCAACTATTGAATGCTAGATCAAAATATACAGACCCTACGTTAAGTACTTGTGTGTGCTTAGATGATATCACCAGCTATCCTGCATACTTCTTTTTCCGTTTCCCTAAACAACCAACCCCCCCCCCCCAAAAAAAAGAAAAAACACACCACAAAAAAAAAACCCACAAAAAACGAGTTACAGAAAAGGCCTTATCTTTTTGTACTTCCCCAAATTGCTTTACTGGGAGCAAGAAACCAAGCTGACAGCATGGCTCTTTTTCTTATCTTCTCTTTCCACATGCCAAAAAGGTGTCAGCTGTAATGTTTATTTAGAAACAGAAGTTGGAGCTTTTGAACATTCTAGCGATATGCTTCTTCTTATTGCTGAGATGCTTTTATCTGGCTGTATGGAGCAGAGGAACAATTCTCTCATTACCCCCCAATGCTAACAGGTGTATTTTTGAAATAGGATTGTGTTGAGAGTTGATGGTGGCAAAAAAGGTTTATAGTCTGAGACAAGAAGCTTTACAATGTTGCATCAGAAAGTTTGTTTGGAATCTAGAGTGCATATGAAATGTCAGTTAATATGTGGTTTGGCCATATTTCTCTAATAGTTTTGACTTTGTTGTCTCGAACAGAACTCTCAGACTTCTGGGATAGTCTTAGAAGATTTTGATACAGCCTTCATCAACAAATTCTACCACAGTCACCTTGATGATCTGTGTGAGTTGATCTAATTCTTGGGTGCTTTTCCATTTTTCTGATTGATTCATCTGAACTTTAAATGTAGACATTTTATTTCTTTGTTCTCATTCAATATGTTGCTTTTTGTGCAGCTAATATCAACTCTTCAGCCATAGTGGCAGCTGCTTCCCTTGTTGCCCGAACACTTTACATTCTTGCTAGTGATAAAAAGAATCTTAGTGCTTCAGCTCTAAGTGCTATCAATGTGAATGCCTCTTTGGTAGATGAACTGTTGGGTTGCCTATTAAGTTGTGAGCTGGGCTTATCATGTGAACTGGTGAAGGACTATATATCACCCGCCAACACTTGCCCGAGCAATTATGTCGGTGTCATCGTTGGGGAACCAACATCCACACCTTATACTGGTTATGTGAGTGATGTTTCAAGGTTTGTGTGGAACTTTCTGGCCGAGAAAACATCTATCCCATCAAAGAATGCTAGTTCTTCTTGCCCACAAGCTTGCAATAACAATGGTGAACTGTGCATCAAAGTGGAGACAGATGGGAAGGGGGTCTGTGTTATCTCCTCAACCAGGTACCTGCTATTTTGGCAACACTAATCAAATAAAACAGTTGCAATGCATGCCCACAAGTGGATATGCTTTTCATCCTAACCCACCCCTACCTGAATAAGACCTGTCAATGGGGGCAAGGCTGGGATGGTTCCCTAATAAATGGGTTCATTTTTATCCTGGTCAGCTCCTTATCCTTATTAAACCTGAATATCCCTATCAAGCCCAGTTTGCCGTCATCACATTATCTGTATACCTCAGGTCAAATGATCCACATTTTATGTTGCTATCCTAGTCATTTTTGTGGAGGAAACAAACAAGGAATGTTAGTGCTGTCTTATACCCAGCTAAAGCTGGGGTAGAGAATCCTTTCTGACCCTTGGACTCCAATAGAGTCTGCAATGAAGGTGACGCGAATATCATGTCTTGCTGCCACTCTAGAGGAGATCATTAGCACTTAAAT